GTACTACAGCATAACCTACACAGAACATTGGCTCTCATCACTCCTCCGGTAATTCCACTACCCGCAAGCAATTGCACCTGGCTTCCTGGTCCTCCAGTAACCTTTGGTTCTACGTGACCTTGTCCTCCAGCCCTCGCACTAACGGTAACGTTTCCATTGCCATCGCTATACATTATATACATATGTGCACCGGCCATGGTGCGCCCAATACCTAGTGCAGCCCATTGATATGAATCTGGTGCGCTGAGTTGAAAATATATATTTCCAGTGCCAGTCGAAACCGTTGTCGGAGGAATACCCAGGGAATAGACTGGACCATCTGAAGGAGCAAAGACCGCGAGTGCAGAGACTGTGAAGCTTTATTAGTCGTTACTTTGGTGGCGGTAGTGGTGTCATTTAAGCATTGGGGTTGCGCTTAACCTTACCGCATGCCAAGTCCCTAAGTCCGCCGAGCACAGCAAAACTTATCGCAATATTAGGGAACTTCATTTTAACAAAAACTCAATACGATGAAACGAACAATCATGAATGCATATTGAGTGGAAAATTATCTAGAGATTATTCAAACATGACATAAACTGCATGTTGTTAACAAAATTTGTTGACCAAGATTTGAGGTTCAGGTGGAATATATAAGAACATCTTCTGCTTGTCATGGTCCATTGTTCTGATGTAAAATGTGGCTTACTGCGCCCGTTCAACATTCACACACATTGAGTTGGCGAAGCCAATTATCTTTTGATGATGACCACTAGTCATGGAGAAACAAAGTCAAAAAATAAGCTTGGTCGTTCAAATGTCGCATTAGGGGGTGGTTCTCCGTATCAGTACCATTTATGCTTACAGCAATAAAGGCGTTCCACTCCACATCAGGATAATCATCCGAATTTCGTATATGCTGGGAGAATCATTCATCTATTTTGATATGAAGGTTGACTCCTGAAGTTGTGAATGTGTTCTTGTTGCAACGATGAATATTATACAAGCATCATTTCATTGGTTGTAATAATTGATGCAGGTACAAACATTCACGGTATGTTGCTCGATGAATCGACATCTCAGTATCCAGAATCCAGATGATGACTGTGTCTTCTGCCTTTTTTCTTCCATTTTTCAACGGTCAAGTCTCCATGTTCTCATACCCTTGCATGGAATGTCTCTTTCTGGGCCTTTCGTAGGGCTGCCATGGCTCAAAAATGTGGAAGGGTGAGTACAAAATGAGATAGTTATGATTGTAAATATTGATGAGGATTATTAAGTGTGAGAATATATAATGAACATCGTTGTGATCGTATGGAAATTTTTGGAGACGATGATTATTAAAATCAAACAGTACTTTATTAGAAAAGCTTAGTAATTTTTATTAGAAATAAATAAAAAAAACTAAAAGTTATAAACTTTTTAAATCAGATTTTTTATAAAATTGTATTTTAATTTATTAGATTAGTTTTATTTTGTTTTGTTAAATAAACTATAAATATATGTTTTTTGTTAGAAAAACTTTGCAAGCTTTATCAAAAAATACAAAAGAAATAAAAGTCATAAAATTTTCAATAAAAATAATATAAAAATTATTAGAATGAAAAAAAAATAATTAAAAAAAGTATTCTAATAATAAAAGATATCTTTTATTGAATATTATTACAATATAGAGATACGTGACTGATGATTGAGTAAGCTAGGCTCTATTCTGCTAACGTGGTTTATCAGCATGTGCACCATATCAGCATATGCACCACTTTTACCTCAATTACCCACATTATATTAATATAAAATAACAACAACGCTATAAAATAGAATCAAATTATATACAATCTAAAGATTAATTAATACTAGATCCAATTAACAAGTTCGTGTATTATATAAAACACTACTGTATTTACTACATTGTCATATAGTAGATTGCCTTCTTGTTGAAGAACTATTATTTATGTACTCATCGCGTCATATTTGATCATCTATATTCTCTTGCTTCAATATATCATATCCATTTCCTACTGAAAGAGCTCCTCCTTTTTGTATCAAAGTCTTTTGAGCTCTGCGATATTTACTAAATGCTTTATTTGCTTTACAAAAATTATGAATCTCAACAATTAAAAGTGTATTCGTATAAGCTAGGAGCTCTATACCTTTAGCCAAAGCTGCAACCATCTCAAATATAAGTATAAAGAAACTGCTTAGATATTTTGTAATACAACTTTTGATTAAAGTAAATTGAAAAAGAGTTTCAATAGGATTATAAGGTGTTTGAGATTGTCATATTCCAGGATTGGTTGAGATTGATCTATTTGATAGAGTCCTTATTCGAATATCCAGTTTTGAAAGTACAGCTTCCGGATCAAATAGAATGAGCCTAGCTCTACGGAACCCAGCTTTCCCATTTGATATGGATATTGCTTTAATATATACAGTTTTGAAAGCTTGGAAAAACTCGATTTTGGTAATATAGATAATATGTGCCTTAATAAAATTCTCGATCTGTCGACTGTACAAACGCTTTAAAGAACTAAAATAACCGATATCAAGTGGTTGAGTTAAATACAAAGAATAAGACAATAAATCAAGTAGTATAATATTGTTTTCCTTACAGTATTCCCGAAAAGCTATAGATTAATGACTTTCATATCCATCAAGCATTAGCATACGATATCCACCTACTTTCTTACCTATAGTATGCTTATCAAAATACTTAATCCATTTAAGACTGGTTTTATTATCTGTTCATCCATTGGGAGTAGGTTTTATAACCCAATCGTATGGTAAACCGCTTTCAGTATACCAGTTTGAGAGGTGATATTTGCCTTTAACTAGCAGAAACGGAGGTATATTGTAACCCTCTCTATTTATACAAATAATCGCTATAGCCCATTCTTGATTGTTAGGTTGTATAGCTTTATTTCTATTGTATCGATCGGCTTTAGTAACTACTATATGCGATAATATTTGTTCCATTATAAAGCCGATTTCATCAAAATTATAGAAATCGCAATTGAGAATGCTATATTTGGCTTATATATTCATCACTAATCAAAACCACTTTCCAATAAGCTCTGAATCTTTGCAGAGAGCTCTTTGGAAGTCATAAATACGAGTAAAACGTGTCTTTAAATCTGGATATCGTTATACAAATTGATTCGCTCAAAGCTTTCCAACTTTCTTATTACCCCTCGATTCCAGAATACTATTCGTTATATCTTCTATATCACTTATTCTAGGACTAAATCCTTTATCATCCATATCAAATATATATTGAATAATAACCTTCTCTTCCAAAATAGTCAAATTATGACTTTTTGGTCGGAATTCTATACAAGGGGTCAAACCATTTATTCTGCGGATGAGTGTTGTATATGATATATTATATAGCTTAGCAGCCTTCCGAATACTCAGTTTTTTGTTTCTTTGAATAGCTCCAATAGCTAAAAGTATTTGTGCTTCTTTACTATTCGATTGCATAATGAATTATTGATAAATCGCGTGTTGAAGTGGAAAGATAATAATTGAGGTAAAAGTGGTGCACATGCTGATATGGTGCACATGCTGATAAACCACGTTAGTTCATATATGAAGATTCTGTATATCTTTACATAAGACGGACTCGGACTCTTGGGATTGGTGTCATGTTTGGCTTTTTGCGATGAAACGATTGAGAATGAATTTAAGTCGGATAAGGTTAAATATAATATAGTCCGTGGCTTGAGGTTCAGAGAGTAGCGTAGCCAACGCCTTGTAGCCAACGCCTTAAGCTTCATCAATATGGAGTTATTTCTTTGGACAATTTTAAGGTCAACCTTGAGGTAGACTCGAGGCAGGCTATCGTGGGCCTCGCTAGTGTCATTAAATTCGCACAGACAGTGTGAAAGAAAGCCTAATAGTAAAAGATGAATAATCTCGACCAGGTGGACGCATCTTTCTAACATCAACAATTCCCATAAACCCAAAATCTATGACCAGAAAAATTATGCATCTTTGGATTCTTTCACATCATATCATATCATATCTTACTAAAAGATTCCAATCTTTCCACATCTTCTGGTAATAATGATTGTGTTCTGGAATATGTTTCCCTGCAAATTAAATTTCATCGCAGGACGTCGACATGCTGCCTAACATTATATTCGAATGATTTGCTCGCCAGACCCTCGTCTCCTTGCTCCAGAACCAAACATTTTTCGGTTCATCTGATGACTCTATGATCTTCATCAACCGTAGGGGTAACTGCTTGGTGACACTACCTCGATTCGATGACCACCGATTGGGCATAATGGGAAACCCTTTTCGCCCTCAACTTGCCTTGCACTCCACACAGCCCCATGTAATGCATATAAGCATTCGACGGCTGAAGAAATCGTGCTCAGCACCCCACCTATAGTTTACATATGATTTTGACCGTCTACTTTGTTGCTTCAATCGTTAATTGTTTATCAACCCTCCCAAAATTCACTAACGCTTGTATCGCATTGTCGGAATTGTGATTATCAGCCAGCTTCCTCGATGTCTGACGCTGAACTTTCGTTTCCAGAGCCATTGCCGGAGACATTACCGGAGGTGAAGGACCACGTGATTCATTTTGATGATGGCGATGGAGCGGGAGATCGAGGGCGCGAAGCCTCACACAGCACTGCATCAGGCAATCTTCGTGATTCAGCCAATAGTCACAATGACGGTTCGCAGGCAATACGCTCCGATGTCCAGACAGACTACGTAGAGTTGCCGCTTCCCTTCGAATGTGATCAATGCCCTCGATCATTTTATAGGGCTAAAGATCTTCGATGGCATAAATACAAGCATACGACTGGGCTGGCCTTCAATTGTGATAAATGTGAGGGAATGTTTCCGACAAATGACGATCTTGAAGCTAGTATACCTGAAAATTCAAATCGAATCTATTGAATCTGTTGAATCTGACTTATAAATAGAAACATATTTCCACGAATTGCAAAAAGACTAGATATGAGCAGCAGCCAGAGGTACTTAAAGCTTCCAGCATTCCGTTAAAAATGCAAAGATACGACCTCTCTGCCTCCCATCGCGAACCGAAACCTCGCGACTTTGTAGGGCTGAAAACAGCTCAAATTCGTCTGGATCCTGCAGAGTTGGACTCAGATGACTCTACTCGGGTGAAGCTTAGACGCGAACCAATATCTTCAGAGATGCTCCCTGCTGCGGTCAATCATGATGTTAGCCCTGTACCATGCCGGTCAGCTCCAGATCAAGTCGCCGAAAATAATCGAGAGCTTTCCGCAGCAAGTGAACCTGTCCCTGTAGAGATAGCTCGGTCAAAACGCGATGATTTGACAAGAGAAGCCTTTGAAACTCTCGATGAAATGAAGAGCCGTCATCATAGGGAATTTGATGACCTACAGCGACGTATAACACAAAAAAGATATCTTGCAACAGACGAAACCAGAGATGAAATCAATAGGCTGTGTGAGGACATGGAGAGACGACTAAAAAAACGACAATATATGGAAACGCCGTTGTTAGTGGATCCGGATAACCGGAATCGTCGAAGGATAAAACAGTTCAAAGCAGATGAGTCAAAAGAGCATGCTGCAGCGATTTCTAATATTGATTCGGAGTTGCAATGGATGGAGACCGAGAAGGCTCTTCTACAAACTCTTGAGGCCAAGCAAAGAGAACTAGGTCCCGACGATATTTCCACAATCGATACCGTGAAAAATACTGCTCGTGTTTACTTCGATCAAGGAAAGCTGGTCGAGCTGAACACATGTATTTACGAGCTCTAAATGGGTATCAAAATGCAACCGGTCCCACGCAAATGCTAATCAGTGCGGTAATAAACGACCTTGGTCGCATCTATTACCGGCAGGGTAGTATGACTAAAGCTGAGGAGATGTATGTTCAAGCTTTGGCTAATTTTGAAAGATACTTGGGAAGCAATCACCCCACAACTCGCAACACAGCAAACAGGCTCGGTCATGTTTATCAAAAGCAGGGCAAGCTTCAGGAAGCGCAAAGACTCTTTGGACAATCGACAGCTCCGGGAGTGGAGTCATCTCCAGATACAGTCAAAGATGGGGCTGCAGGAATAAATATTTTGCAATCTGATTTCAAACAAAGAGATAACCTCACAGGTACGAGGAATTTTACCAGCAATAATATTCGAGATCTTGGGAAAGCTTTTCGAAACACTGATGATTCGCACAATGTCAACTCTCAAAATCAATTTGATATTGTGCGATGGTCGACCTCAGAAGATGCTTCTTTGCTAAGAACTATTGCCAGACTCGGATTGGAAGATTGGCCCGCTGTCTCAACGGTAGTTGGAACTAAGACGGCTGATCAATGCCATTACCGTTATCTCAGATTCGAGAAGAGCTTTGGAATTGACCCTACCTCTTCTGATAAATCCTCGCAGATCAATTTTTTCATGGCTGCTATTGAGAAGAATTCCTCGTCAGAATTGGCACACTGGTTGCGTGATCATCGAAATATCTCGGAAGATGGGGATGGTATTGTATCACGATCAAATAAAGGCAGCGCCGAGCTTATAGAAAGGGGCAATGAGGCACCTTCCACGCCTGTATCTAAATCTCCAGTTGCCAGTAAATCTCTAGGTATTGAAGAGTTCACACATTGGAAGAATGCCATGGGGAGTAAAATGCTTGACATGGGTATTCAATCAAACCGAGATACCCACAGAAAGAGTTCGAGTCAGCTATCTACTGAATTAGGTCACGATGGATATGGATACACAAAGCCCATGCCGGAAAGAACTGCACTCGAAATTGCGGAGTTGAGAGCTGAAAGAAGGGCAGAGATCGAGAGACGTTGTGCGGAACTTGATCCACCTTTAATCAAGGATTTGCTAGCCAACATACCCTTATATAGAACAACTATCCAAGATGTCCGTCCTTTGACTGAACTTGGCTGGGAATTCTTGAAGCGAAATTTTCTGGCGGAGCGCACTATTTCAGAGTTGAAATCCAGCGATTTGTCAGATTTACCTCACATTAAGAGATTATACAATGAGTCTGGTAGGGAGGATACGGTACGTGGAGGATTCCATGCTCTTTCAACTTTTATTAATATGAAACAGGGTGACATGATCGCCAAACGGGATCTCATGGCCAATGAGCAGCAAAAAGCTGTTACTGACGGATGGCAACATGGGTTCAGTCCAGAAATCCTTAATTCTATCTCTATCGAAAGCCAAAATTATATTGTAGCTTCAACTAACGAACAAGCTTTAAGTTCTGGTCGAGCTAATGAGTTCGACCAGACCATGGGTCCAACTAGCGAAGCTCACAAAAGTACCCAACTCGAATGTTCTTTAGACGCAGAAAATAGTTCGGCCGGATACCAGAATCATGCGGGTTCTTACGATACAAACACTGTCAAGAGACTTCGACGGTCAGAGAATTATCATGATTGGACTGTTGTTGCTCATGATCATAGATTAGAAAGCCGTGGCGAGTTGACTAGAGATACTGTTGATGTAAATACGAATTTACTAACATCTCAAGGTAAGAATTTGAAGGCATCTGACTTTGTTATGGCCTAACAAGAAGAGCGCATGAAACAATATACGTCTGAGAATAGAAGGAAAGACATTGTGAAGTTGTCCCAACAGCAAAGTTCAGGGAAAACATGGATACATACTCCCGAGATTCCGGCGAACTCACAGATTGTTGACTCGCAAGACATTAAAGAGAAACTAGCGGAGACAGCAATTGATTTGGCAAAGTTAATATTAGAAAAGTCACAGTGGCTAGGGCAAATGGATGGCGATGAATTGGATCATGCGATAACAATGCTGGGAAATGAAGTCTACAGCATGTTGCACGAAAAAGGTTGGCCACGAACAACATTAGCGATGTATCGAGAAGTACATATCAAAGCAATTCGTGATCTTCTTACCCGCCACCAAAATGATCGAGGCCTGGGATCTTCAACTCTCTCGTCATCGACATTATCTGAAAATGGCGCAAACAATGATTCTCATTCGAGACTACCAATCGAGGACATACTTGATGACCAAAGCGACAACTCTTTTGAGTTCTCCACTACGGATTCCGTGGTATCGGTTGCAGATAGTATATTTTCAGCAATGTCACTTGCTACGGGGTCCTCGATGTCATCTTTTTCAGTATCTCAGACTGCAACTGACCGCTTAGTTCGTTTACTCCTTGAAGATGCGATCATAAAGCCACTCTGCGAAGATGCGTTGCAGGAGAATGGAATGTCTCGGGAACGATTTGAGCGGAATCTCAGCCGTCTACTGAAGGGCTTTGCTGTCGAACTACGAAAAGAAGCTCAAACTCGAGAACAGCGACAGGCCGCACATCTTGTTCGTTTTCGTGCAAGAAACTCTGCACATGTGATTTGCAGTACTCTTCGGACAGAAAAGGAACAAAAAGGCACAAAAAATGTCAGTGACTCCAGTGGAGCTGCCCCTTTGAATGTTGAAGAAGAAGAAATAGAGTGCGATTTGGACATAGATGACGATTCGGATAGTGGATCTGAGAGTTCTGAAGATGCTTCCGATGACTTTCAACATCTTGAACTTTTTGTCAAGGACTCAAAAGCCTTCGAATTGTTTCGGGAGAAACTACGAATTTTCATTCATCCACAGAAAGCACAGCTACCAATGGTAGCCAGTCGACGAAATAGTTTATCTTCAAAGACAAACAACTGGGCGATTGCATTACCCGGAAAATCTGATGACTTCAAGAGTGAACTTGTTGCAACCCCGAAAGATGTAGGGGAAAACAGAACTCAGCTCATGGCATTGAACGATTTCCAACGGTATTTAGCAGACACACGGTCAGAGATAATTAGGGGGGTATACCAACCAATCTGGCAAAAGTTGGCACTATTTTCTAATAAGATTTCGACATGCGGAAGACCGCCAGTTGCAATTGGAAAGACACGGGTTGAATGGCGTTGTGTGAGTTTTTATGCGATAGTCCAGAAACTTATAATCATGAACTAACAACCGCAGAAATGTGGACAGAAAATTTATGATGATTTCACTGAACTTCGTCCTGGAGCAGCAAATCGACTTAAGCAAGCTCTCACAAATAATGACTCTGGTAGCACCAACACAAACCGAAGTTCAAGTTTCAGTGACTGCAGCAAATCTTTTTCGAAAAGCTTATCTTCCATTTTCACTGTCTGGTCTTCGAACTCCTCGAGGAAAAGTCTCTCCTCTGGCCTACCCACCCACGAACCATCAAAGAATCAACTTGATTCGAACAATCCAAACACCGTAAGACCAATACCGCTTCCAGTCGAGAATGTATATCTCCTTATATGTTACCCATCTGGTCGCTACGCCACTAGACTTCTGCAGTTGGGTCTTCACAATCTTGAACCTAAATCTGATCAGTCACTCTTCACTATACTTCGAACTAATTATAAATCAATGAGAAGTCGATTCTTGAGCCTGATATCATTGAAGACTCTCAGATCGATAAAATTTGTCCACTTCGAGATGTACCGCAGCTCTCTCATCGACGTGCGTCAACAAGATGTCAAACCACCTCCCGACCACATCGAATATCGTTACTCGCCCGCACCTCCCGAAGTGATTCCTCCCATTGGTGAAAATAATCTCATGCACCTCTTTCTGCATCCTGATCACGCCGACGAAGATACTGTGTGTCTTGACCGATTCCCTAAGAAGTTGAAGGAGAAACTTTCTTGTAAAAAAGGACAACCTACAAACTTTGGCTGGGGACTAGAGTTTGTGGAAGGTTGGGACATGAAAAGCATTTGGATAGTCGCCTTTATTTCTTGGATTGGAAGCTTACTGCTTGGAATTCTTTGGGCAGTTTATACGCATAGTATTCAGGATGCCTTTACGATCGCGGGTTACATGGTTAGCTTTACCGCGATTAGTGTGGGAGCCATACAGAGCTTATTGGTAATGTAAGGTAACATTTTAATCTACCGGGATGAAGAAGTTCCCTGCCCTGTAATATCTAGCAAAGTTTCGTAAAGCAAGCAATCGAAGCCCATTGCAGCCACTTAGAGGCTGAGCTGGAATATTTTCGACAAGTTCCAATGACGTTACCAATTCTTTGGAAATCATCAAAAGAATTGATGAGGTGCAAAGTGAGTCTAGTTGAAGCAGACTCTTAGCCACATAAGATGCCAATTCACTACAGCTTTAATATTTCGGGAGGATACTCAAGCTTCGATCTTTCGTGGGAGAACGCCGTCACACCAATTTCCCAGGACAAAGACATTGATTGACACATGTAACATCGATGGGTTCACCACAACACCATATGTCTTAGCTCAGATTGCTCTAATAACCAAATGAGCCTCGTGTTTCAACTCATTTATTTTATTTTTTTGCCTCTCTTTTTCCAAACACCAGAACTGAAAATCCAAATTTCAGCGTCGGAGAAGCAAATAAAAAAACTCTGGAATATGATTGATTCAAGATTTCCAATCCTTAAACCTCCAACACGGGTTCATTCTCGACCCTCCACCCCTGGAGCTTCATTTCTTCATACAGCTTCATTGAGTTGTCCCACTAGATATCCCGCAGAAACAAGAGAAGTTAATGCAAATCTCACACCAAATACTTCAGCTTCATCCCCACCTTCTCCGGAGAAAATTCGCAGACTCGGAGAACCAGAGCGTGCATTGAGATATAAAACGTCATTGACACTTTCACTCCCAGAGGAAGAAACATTTGGTCAACCTAGTATCGACTTACCTGGCTTGAACATAGCCCGTGATTTCGGGTTTGGATCGGGTGCTGGATCAAGGACGTCAAGAATCGAAGAGAGAAGATCTGTTGCCTTTGTGGGAGAAACCAGAGAGGACGGCGAGAAGATATTTGAGGGTGTGAATCTTGATGCTAATGAACGACGGATTGGAGACAGAGGACTTGGACCAGAGCCAATGAGAGATGAAGAAGCGGAGGTAACGAAGCAAAGGAGTATCTCCGAGATGCTTGAGCGGCGGGAAGACGGCGAGAAAGACGAATGCAATAGATACGTTGGTCGCTTTGGGAAAGTTTTGGGATACCTTACTGTGAAATGTTCTTGTCTTTAGGACTCTAGGAGTGGATATGACATAGCAGGCGCGGTCTAGTTGTGAGCTTTCATAAACGAGATTAACTCAACACTCAAATTGAATCCGGTACGTCAAACAGTCTAAGGATTTGAAGATTTTGTTTGAAGTCTAGAACGAAAAGCCTCTATGTTCCAAAATGAAGTGTGGGCTATTAAAAATCACAATGGTGAGATGATTGTGGTCTATGAATATGAGTAGCCTTCAATAACATGCGAATTGCACCATTCAATGATTCACAACAATCAAGATTGAGCAGTTCCAAATCTCGGACGAGCTTGAAAAGATAGGGTTCCCCCGGGATGGGATTTTCAACATAATGCGAATTTATCGATATGGAACCACCAATTTTTCCCGATGAATACATTAGAATGCAGAGGGAAAACTTGGCAACTAAGATTAGACATATGATAACGATCAATATCAATGAAGTTGAAGATAATTCCTTTCCAATGCCTTCTTACTCCCACCCCACTCGCACTCCCACTCTCCCGGATATTGTTGCCAACCGCAGTACTCTGAAAAAATAAACCGGCCAATCTTACAGCACTTTTCGAACCGTTGTCAAAAGGACGGGAAAACCCACCTTCCAAATGAAGTACGTTGCAGCGATTCCCTGCAAATATTCCTTGGGAGTCTCGCAATCCGTCTTGATTTCCATAGAACCCGAGATCCGATCAGCATTGGCGTTTATTTGATGGATCCCTCATGAACTTTTCTTCAACCGCAACCAGGCTCAAGCCGGAATTCGTCGCTGCATTTCATTTGGAACTCGCCGATATTCATGGGATTGAAGTCGACAACGACCCATCTTTGTCGGAAACAACTCATTATCAAGAAGTCTTTTGGCTGCAAAATAATTATACTGTGCTAGGTTTTCCATCCATGAACAGCTGTTGCAGACCGACATTTCAATGATCCTAGATGCAGTCTATTCTCAGCCATCATACATCCTATACCATGGCTACTAACACACACACACACAACACACACTCTCTCACACACACATTCACACGGGCTACACGATGCAGCCACAGCTTTGCAGCATCCAAGTACGTGCTTTCTCCGAACAACTGACTTTTATTTTGCTCCGATCAAAGTTACTTGTCACAGAGGCGTCGATACATCTTTCATGGATATGTTAGAAAAAAATCTTGGACAATTCCAGTAACCGAGCTTCATATGGGCGCAAAAACGAGACACCTAGGAATATACCCACTCTCTAATATTCAATATCAAATCAAACAATCAACATTTAGAATCGAGATTCAGATACATTTATCAAAAAACCTTTGAATTACAGCAAAAACCTCTCTATAAGGATACCGGTTTTTTGTAGTCTTTTTTAAGGATATATAGAGGTATCCTTGTATAGAGGTCCCGCTTAATCCCGATATAGTAGTAATTTCCTTCCGATTAGTCCCGATCGGGCCATTTCCGTGACATTTTTTAGAGTTTCAATTGAATCTCTTGAAAACCCTAGTATATTTATTATGTGATAGCTAATCCTGATGATTCTATTGGTCCAATAAGGATATATACGTGATCCTGGGATCGAGAAATATAAGGATATTCTAATAAAAAGGTTCTAAAGATATAGGCCTTTTTTAGCCCTGAAAATTTTTGCGATTGAAAAATATATTCTTATAAAGAGGTTATCCTTATAGGGGGGGTCCTTATCGAGAGGTTTTGCTGTATTCAAATGTTATGTCTTGAATACGTTATAATGGAATCGAATACTGATTTCGTGATTGAATATCTAAATATCAAATTCCTGTATGATTTTGTTTGGGTGAAGCCGAGGTAGGATCCAAGCGGTCGGAGTCAATATCAAAACCTTATTGAAGCTTCATGATATACCGGATCCGATGTTTTACCACAATTTTAAAAAGTTACTTCGTGGCAGGGCAAGCGGAAACAGGGGGTTTGATAATTCCGACGTTTTTCTTCCAGGCTGGCTGTGGTAAGCAAGTGGACCATCCATCCATCGTTAGTTTTCGTTTTTCTTTATCCTGGAATGCTGAAGTAGTTGTTTCTAAGTGGGGAAACTCTGGACCATGATATCAATTGCGTTCCTTATTGTTTTCTTCCATATACTAAATAGGCTCATTAAATAGACAGACTTTAGTATTCTATAAGCGAGATGCAAGCCATTCGGACGCCTTTCCCCAATGGTTACAATTTACATATGGTTCAGCTTCTATGAACAGGTTTCTATTCGCAAGTGCAGCAATAGAGTGAGTTGTTTACTTGTCCACAGTACTAGATGTATGCGAGATGCATTGCATTGCAGTGCAGTGCAGTGCAGTGCAGTGCAGTGCAGAAATGTTATATCGGCTGAGGGCATATGTTGCAGGCTGCACGTCGATTTTCTCGGAACTCGGAGCCTAGTTCCAAGCCAGATTAGTCCCAACCTCCGGTGCAGATATGAAAAGTAATCGCAGAGATAGTGGGTCGATAGATCTACAGGTATGGTTTTCCATCGTGGTATTCATGATTTGTAGTTTGCTTGACATTCGTTGAAGGCATGGGGACTTAGGAATGCATGTCCTGACTGCGGATTTTGCGATTACGCTATCGTGAACTAACCTAGTACTTGCTATACCGAAGCTCGTCAGGCCATTTTTGGACACGAGCATCAGATCCAAGTTACTGAGAAGAATGGGCGAGGCGGTTCTTTTATTCCTCGCGCGATGAGTCCAAGGCGGGCTGCTTGAGAATTATATAAGGAAGTGTTGTCTCTGTGTAATGTTTCTCCCCATCATCACCAAGACGAGAAATTAAATTCTATCCACTATTCGTTTACATCACATACCGCCTAATAAGATCTGCCTTATCCTCCTTATCAGCCTCACATCGCCAAACATGCTTGCCTCATTGATCACTGGCCTCTTGGCTCTCACTGCCATCTCTGTCTCCTCTCCAATCCCCGCAACCAAGCGCGACACTGCCGAGCTCTACATTCTCTCCAACTGCTACAACAATCTCACACATGCTTCCTACGCCTCCGCGTTCTGGTACTACCCAGATTTTCTCCCAGATTACCCAGAACCACAAGCTGTCGGTGTCATCAACGCTAAAAAATCGGTGACCTTTGAAGGCCTCAATATCGCCATTAAAACCCCATTCAAATTGTCAGCCGCTATCCCAAAAAATGCTACATTGGCTACTTATCAAGAGATTGTTGCATCGGCCACTATTAGCAGTTTTGCTGGCCCAGCTGCGGCCATCAAAGGCACTGGAGAGGCTTTCTATAGCCCTGCAACCAATGTCAACTGTTATTACAATTATGCCGTCAGGGATGTAAGTCTCAACAGCCCTTCTATCTGAGCGACGTAAATGCTGATAAATAGGATTAGAATCAAACCGAGGATCCATGAGCACTTCGTCGCAAGCAGAATTATGACAGATGCAAAGAAGCCTCATTGGCCTGGATGGAACAGGATTGATTAGATTTGCTACTCTTGCGTACGGCTGTGTTAGATGGGTTAACAATTGATGACTTCATGATCAGCAACCACAACGATGACAACGACAATAACGACAATAACGAATCAACGACTATGAATAATAATTAGAACACATAAAATTTGAATAATAGACAGGTTTTTTTTCGCACATACAATTATCCCTATAATTTATCCGTGACTTGTAATCCGTATTAAATGCATAAAACGAAATCTTACTCAATGGCCAAACTATTGAACACTACTTTGACTTTTGATAAAATGCAAGTCAGGAAGAGCCTTGGCTTACATCAACTTAAGTAGCACATTAAAAATTATCGAAGGCACTCATGATGATACGAAGGAAAGCCACACATCTTACGCAGAAGATGTCTGGGCCCTTTAATGAAAAGTCAGCGAAAACATCTTGCTGCTGATTTTTTAGATCGGTGCATCATTTGCCCTTCGTGATGAATTTTTTGTGTAAAAGGGTCATCCAAATTTTATCTGTAGATTGCGATTTGTAAATTCAGGAACGTCGTCAATTACGCAGGGCCGATATTCATGTCAAAATCTTTGTGAATTCATTTGCCTAACTCTAAGTTGTCCCTGAGTAGTTAGACTTATTCTTCGGCTATTGATTCAACATCGATCGTCCCGGTGGTTCATCTCTTGATCTTATTACCAAACTAATCAATCCTAGGTTTGGTAATCTTACAATCCATATATAATTTCAAGATTGGTTGGTTACAATGAGACCAGATGTATAACATCTTCAGTCGCTACTTTTTCGGCTGTGACTGTGTGTACTGGGCTTTCAAACCAGCGAGTAGAAAGAAGACCAGTCAAAGAATTTCAATTATTCATCAAAATCCTTGAACTATACCACTCAAGTTGAGATGACAGTCGTCAAGTGCGAAAGTCATTGCCACTTTCTTGGAGCGCGATTTTTATTAACCAAGACCAGATCTAATGTCGTGTAGATTTCTTTCTTTTGGGTATCATTTTCTTTGGGTACTGTTAACGAGTACCAGGAGTACAAGGAGCCAAGGTCTACTAGCACGCTTTCCAGAAAGAGTACTTTCTTTGATTGTAGGGAACTTGGGGTTTTCTGGATTACTTCTCGAAGGGCCATCTCTTTGTCGTGCTTGATTATTAACCTACCAACTTGGTCTAGATCTTTTAAGTCAGATGAATGAAAAGCGTTTTCCTGTTCCTAGCGATATACAGAAGCTTTGGAACATCTATAGAAAACAAAAAATTTAATGATTCCCACGTCAGATGGGATAGTTCCCTGCCAAGTTTTAGCCCCGAATCACTATTTGACTGTCCTTTTATTTTCACACGAACGTGTCCAATCAGAGTACAATATAGATTATGGGGAGAAATTGGACTCCCTCTGGAATAAAAATGGGAACTGGGAGCCGGAGCCTTTTTAGGGAAGATTTCAATGGCTGCCCATGATGACATGCGGTGAGAAAACACCAAATAGACGAAGAGATTTGAAATCCCATCACGCGATATCGAATACATAAGCCTAGATGAGAACTCTTTGTCTACTATCCCAAGTCAAGAGAACAGAAAGAAACCGTCTGATCCTTTCACACTTGTGAAGTAAGAGCCCCGGCCCGGTACATGTAGCAAGTTGTGACTAGTATTGTCGAGATAATTAAAGAGACAAGTCATCTACAGTTCACCCTCAATCAGTATATCCTGTTCGAATCTTTAGATACTGTATCGTTCAGCCGAAGATTCATCTTAATTCGAGTATCATGGCTCCATTACAAAAATTATGGGCGTTTCTAATGCCCAGAATGCCTCAAGAAAATCTGGGGGAGATTTTCTCCAATTTACCTTCCTCCACGCTTGAAAATATTGCAGCATTTCAGCCTCCACCGGGCGTTACTGCCAACTAGGAGAATCCCGATTCTCACAGAGAGATACTGATACTTATTCCTACTATTATGATGTGTTTGATGATAATATGTATAATTGTGAGAGCTTGGGTGGTATTTTGGATTATGCGACCTGTGAAGCTGAGGTGGAGTGATAGTGATTTTTCCCTTAATCTACTTAAGAAAGCACCCACAACTGACAGGCTTTTCGTAGTGACCTTTAGTCTTACAGTAGTATGCAAAATCCTTGGAAATTCACAAAGGCTGGATCATACTGACTTGTAAATTTCAATAATAGCTTGTTGCTGTCACTCTCTATGTCGTTGTGATATTGTGTACGCATGGCATCTTCTGGCTCAATTCAATCACTGACGGTAACTAACCTTATTTTAGCCGCCACAGGTAATGGAACTTTCGGGCTTCATAATTGGGATTTTCCAGTTTCGCAACTATTATCCTACCGCAATTTGATTGTACGTCTCCTCGCGCTGTCACATTAATTAATGAGCTCTTCGTATCCCAACTAACATAAGTCTGTAGACAACTGGTCTATTACCATGGCTCACTCCTCTCACTCTGGGCTTAGTGAAGACAACCATATTTTTGACATATATGGAAATAATCCGTAGCATGAAGTGGATGAAGATGGCGTGTCTAATCGGGCTTTCATTCACCGTCGTATGGTATTCTGCGATTACCATTGCCGGGATATGCTTGGCTGTTCCACTGGGCGGCGAAGGATGGGTGAAGCACCTGTTCACCTCACGTATGATTCAACAAAACGCTCTTAGCATCCCGACGGCTGTAGTTGGCTTAGCCATTGATTGTTATCTATTGTGAGGGAAATGGGTTTTAGTCCTCCTGTCGTATCATTGCTAATACCTCCATCTCTTAGCGTTTTACCGATAATTGCACTCAATAAATTGAAGATGACTCGGAGGAAGAAGTTAGGTGCAGGGTTGATCTTCGCCACTGGATTCTTGTCAGTTTGATCTATCTTTACCTGCTCTGAACTAAATAATGGTTTCAATGACTGACGTTGCAGATAGTGCTATTGTAGCATCAGTAATGAGCGTTGTGTATCGTGTTATTCACGGTAGTGCACACGGGGACAACACTTGGTGGTTGGTACCTATAATGTCAGTTACGTAAGTATCAGTCCCACCTTTGATGTTTATGTCTCGATCTAATGGATCAATTTCGACAGAATTACCGAAACGTTCATTGGCTTTATCATTGCTTGTGCCTGGCATTTTTCAAAATTCCTGCGCACATATGAGCAGTCTTTTTTGAGAGCTGGCTTGATAACCACAAATTTGTTTTGCTGCAGATGCAAAGGTTCTCGGGGTGAGAACTCTGTTGACCCCAAAAGCAGTGAAGCATCCGATACGGTGGATGATTCAAAGGTACCTCGAGAAAAGGTTAAGCCAGCTCCAAAAATGTATCCCGGTCTCGATCTTACGTCTCGTGGTGGAACCGTATTGGTGACAGAATTGGATAAAAATGAGAACATTCCGAATAGAAAAGAAAACCAGAAGGTCGACAGTAGCATGGAACATGCTCAGGCTGAGGAGAGTTCCACGATAGGCGAAAATACGATATCACCAACAAGGTGAAGCGATGATAATCGACGGATAGATATCTGTAGAGAGGTTGTCGAATCACAGGGAGAACAATTTAAATATTTGATGAAGAATAAACGAGCGCATGACCACAAAAATTGAGAAGCAGAATCTTGTACAATAACGATAAAAAAAACATTTGCTTAGTTGTAATGGCAGAATATGGCAATGGCTGTACTTATGATTGGCGAAACCAAAGTTTTGTAGCAGTATCACGAGCGTTCTAACGGGAAAATCGGTAGATATTGTCTCAAATGATTCAACTCTCTTCTTGTGCCGCGAATAAGACTACGAAGGGGCCAGTGATGATAACTATAGTCACACAACCTCCGGTACCAACACAAATAAGAAATAGAAGGTATTGAATCCACGGATATCATGTAAACAATTATGAATCCGGAAATCAAGCCGCTTGACCGGTATCCCATAATCCTGGAACCAACCTTAGGATGTACAAAGCTTTCAGCAAACCTCGAGTGTTGATTCGAAGAAGGCCATCAACATCGCAAACTACAAACGTGATCGAAAGGCGTAAGTTTCATACTTCAGAACCACGAAGATATGCTGAGCCAGAATCCAAATCATTGTCAAAGGGAAAGCCAGCCATGTCAGGGTCAAAGAAAACCCAACAACCCTCTATTGGGATCGACTTCAAGGATCTCGGAGCCACGAACACTGTCTAATGAGTGATCATTGTGGCCATATTAGTTGCTGCTACGATGGAAACAATATTTTGAACCAAGATGTTGATGGCAAGGTTAGGCTGAGGCGGGGAAAGGAGGAAGAGGAGGAAGGAAGAGGAGGGGGGAAGAGGAGGAGGAAGGAAGAGATGAGGACGAGGGTAAGGATGAATACAAGGAAGAAGAAAATCAGGCGAAGAATGAATGAGGGGAGTCTGCATACTGCATCCTACTATCATTATCGAAGTCGATGCAGCATTTTGAAGACAACTGAGCTATGAAAAGATGTTATTGGATTTATTGTCATTGAGATATACCAGACGCCACTCACTGGCATTGTGTTCATCTGGTGAAGTTTCAATGTACCGAAAAAGGATTATGTAATCGCAATAGTTTTCCCCATACTGGCCACTCACCGCTTTTGGTCTGGCAAAAAGAATAAACTAAACGGGAAAAAGAAAAGAAAAATGCAAGACCCTTACTCCACTTTGATTGGTTCCACTTCATCCACTTTGAGCAATTATTGTCAATACCTAAGGTATGATGTGATATGGAGGGGCTAGAAGTTTAACGTTGAATGGAAGAGGGGTTCTTTTTTTTTTCTTTGTGTAAAGACAAGTGTACAGATAGTCTATCGTTGATCTCAACCCCAAAACAGAAGAAATAGTTCAAGAGTAACTAGGTACCATGTATGACTACACTACTATACGATACGACTAGGTAAGGTTACCATTGACTAAAAAGCACGAGTCGTCCGGTAAGGTAAGGTAAGGTAAAGTAACCCAGGTAGGTAGGTCGGCAACCGAGTAACAGGGGCAGAGTTGATTCCTGAGACACACATCAATCAGCCTCAAGAGTCAAATATACGTACATTACATACTCCGGATATCCATTGATATCTTGAGGAATGGATAAAATTCTTTCCTCCAGTCCCTCGGGATGAAACACATTCTCGATGAATCATTAAGTCTATGGCATTCCTGCCTTCCTACGAACTAGATAAATTGCCATGACGTTAGATGCCGTAGATCTGCGATACCACTCGCCAACCTACCTAGGTATCCTATCTACCTACCTCAAAAACCGAAGATCCCGTTTTAGACAAAATCCATTTCCTATTCACAACCAACTGCGTGCTGGTTTTGCGAACACCTTGTTATCTTGATGTTAGTTTCTTCCCGGAGTTTACGAATGTGAGCGTCGATTTGAGCTAAAGTCCTCTGTGGTAAAGAGAAAGAAAGATTTTAACAATGTCCGCCAATACCGCATAACAAATTCATCTCTTCTGTCAATGGCCTCATTGGGAACACAGATGTTCTGCATGTACGATACGGAGTAGAAGAATAATATTCTTTGCTAGGGATATGCTGCGTTAGTTATTTTGGGATGGAAATGTATCCACAGGAGAGAAGAAGAGACTGGACCGTTGTACTCCGTACATCGTATACAATTGCCCCGCCGTAGCATCAAAATCTCCACTTCCAAATTTGCTATCGACTGACTCTTTTGCCATGAATAATTCGATATTCTAACTTTGAGGCTTCCAATTATCACCAATAACACCACTTCTTCTCCCATTCCCTGCTGGTTTTCTCTCTTTACATCATACAACTCTGCTGCATACTTGGGAGATTTACACTGCACAGGATTTTTCGATGACTACTTGCGTTCTATGGCTCCATATCTCCATATAAGTGTAAATTTCTATCCTTCTGACGAATACCAAATGCGACGATTTGGTGCATATCAATCTTGCAGGTTTTCCAAGGTTGTCATACATGTATATGTATCTTAGTTCGACCTAGCTTGTGCATCCCTATACTATCATGCATCGATGACTTGATCTAGCTTTGGAAAATCTCTCTAGATGACTCCGAGAAATTGACTACCTAGGTAGTGAAGCAAATGCCTTGATCTGGAGTCAAGAATTCTTCCTAGATGACTCCCATCAAAATGATAGAGGCTAGCTGTTGACGAATGAAACTGATTCCTTTCTTGTGTACCTACTTTTTCTCGTCTTGGCCGAGGTCAGAATATCCATCCGGTAAACCTAATTCACTCTTTCTATTCAACACCTGAGTATTATGACTCCATGTTATCATCTGGAAAAAGTGACTTTTGAGTAGTCGATAGAGTGATGCTTCGCTGACCCTCCGGGGGCCACTGCCGTGGAGGCAGAATACTTTTTCCTCCTACGACAATGACTGTTCGGAGTTGGACCACGTAACTATGTAGGTACTCTCGAGTAGGTAGATGGTCTCTTGATATCAATGATAGTAGCGGTGAGCGATGAACCTACCTACCCGCCCAAGTGAAAGGTAGTAAAGAGCACGACCTACCTGCTGGATGGTAGGAGGTACAGACAGAGGTGTGACTGAATCAACCAATCATATCCAATGTTATAGACCAATCAGTCAATTTCGGTTGAAACGTTCATGTCGACCAATCCCCATATTATTTTTCTGCAAGGATTATCGACGCGCACGCACAATTTATTAGCAGAAGCTCAAACCAAAAAAAAGAGAAGAAAAAAAAAATTCAATTTCCATTTCAATTACCTACCTAGTACGTACTTGGTACCCAGTCCAGTCCAGTCAGCTACCTAGTCTCTCCCAGTAATATTCACTTTGCACTTGCAATCGTTAGCGTCAATTTATGAAAATTGTCACCCCCTCCAAAAACTTAATTATGTCTCCTCTTCCTCTCACTCTCACTCTTCCACCTCAACAACCCAAATTCAACATAAGACAACGAAGTCACCCTACACTTATTCAAATAAGTATATCCTCACAATTATCAATACGTCGAGACAATGCCGCAGGCCATCGCTGAGCAGTGAATACCCACTACAGCATGCTCAACCGGGCATGTCTGTAGTCCCTTCAGCCAACGAGTAAATTCCCAATCTTATACCATTCGATCTTGACGAAATCACTAGACTTTCACTGTCTTACCAGCCGACTTACAACAAATTGGTCTAATGTTGTTCGAAAGTTTCAAATTCAATCACCATTATTGATCGAGCTCAACCCTTGCCATTTCCCAAGGGGTGAGAAGGCTCTCATCAACCAAACGAACCAAAATCAAAACTTTTACCTACCGACAACCTACACAACATCGAATCTTTCAATTGACTTTTAAACACAATCCAAGACCAACTCTCATAGACTCGATTGTCATATTTTACAACGCACGAGTCATAATTTACCACAAAATATTACCTTTACACTCCACCCATCTGCAACCTTCCTCTCACCGCCGATACTTTCGGTCACACGCAATCGACCCCACAACAAATTGTTCTTGCAGATTATATTAAACACAAACACAATGTCTCGAAACACACAAGGACAGTCTTTCAAGACCCCCCCTAAGATCAAGCTTAAGTTGAAGAATTCCAAAAAGGTCACAGATTACTCCTCCGACTCTTCGTATGCTGCTGTGGATTTGATCAGTGATTCTGAAGACAATGATTCAGATGACGAGCCCGATGTATTTGGGGGAACCGGGGGGTCTAAGATTGAAAAGTATGAAGAAGCAGCTATGTTCGAATCGGCTGAAGAAGATGACGATTTAGAGACTGTCGAGGAGGATACTGATGTACAAGACACACCTCGAGCAACAATGAAGTTTGAAGACTGGGAAGGAATTGATGATTCGCCAGAAGAACTGGCCGATAACTCTAGGTTTTTCGAGGATAATATGATCCAGGAGTACAAAATTCGTTCCAATGGTGATCTCAAGAGGGTTAATAAAGTCACCGACGACGATACAGATAGCAGCATCTCTGATGATGAGGATATGTGGCACCCTGATCTATTCGACACCGCGACCTCCGCTCAAGGTCCATTCTTGAGTGCCGACGCACTTCCACCTCGTATCGCAAGAGGACTGGAGGATGACACATACAATGATGACGATCATGGTTCTGATCCAGATTTAGAATGGGGAAACGAAGACAATGATTCGGGTAATTCTGGAGAAAGTGATAGTGATGAATCAGACGCATCTGGGTATCAATGTAAGTGAATTCAACAAGCATAGCTGTTGAGCCGAGGACTAACAACCATGTGTTGTAGCTGATCTTAGCGATGTCTCGGGTGGAGATACAACTGACGATGAAGATTGGAGAGAGAATCGTCCAGAAATAGATGCGTCTACACCTCGAGGCAATTCACCACCACCTCCACCATGCCTTGGTTTTCGAATTCAGCGCAAAAAGGGACAACCTGATGTCATTACTTGGTATCATAATACTGATGTACCCTTTGTTATATTAGACGAGCATGGAAAGGACCTTTTAATGTACTCTTCCGACCCTACCAGACTTCAGGATATTAGCTCACCCTCACCCCTTAGAAACGGCAGCATGGAACAGTACAATCCAGTCCTTAGCAATCAAGCCAACATTATGATGAGCGCAGTATCAGATACCCCATCCGAATTTGGATCTTACCACACTGGTAACCCAGAAGCTTTTTTCGAAAATTCCGTTTTCATGAACGAGAATGCCGTTCGCCCGACGAGTAGTTCATCATATGACGATAGCGATGATCAGAATGAACCTCTTGATTGGGGCGACTTGCTTCACATGGATGAGGCATTAGATGAGGAGCAAGGTGAATCTGTAGACGATCTAGCCGAAACGCCGTCATCTACCCCTGCTCGCCCAACGACGTCCGATGGCCTTCACCCCCTTCTAGTCCATCTTGACAAGAATACCAACGTCGGTGCTTTTCGCCTTAATCGACAGAACGAAAACCTCATCAACAGCAATACTGTTTCCAAAGATGCACTAGCATTTGGAACCTCCACAATCAAAGGTGTTAAGAATGGACACCTCGATTCTCTCACAAGCTCTTTAACCCCTCGACGAAAACCTAAAACCCTCATGCCCTCTAGTCCCGCCGGTGACGTCGCAAACCGAAAGCGGAAATCGAGCGGTGCATCTCAGGGACGTCAGCACAAGAGAAGTCGCAGCAATGCATGAAAAATTATTGCATACATCTTGCTTCCAACTTCCGCAGCTTGCGATTGCTCAATAATCATTCCTGGACAATGATTAATTACGATGATGGACGGCATGACACCTTTTGACTGTCATTCCTGGCCTCAAATTTCTTTTTGTCTAATTATTTTCTTTGTACTTTGTATATCTAGCGTAACGATGGATGAATTGGCAATAGACAAAAGCATGGTCATCATACATAAAAGTTTCATAGACTTCGGTTGTGCTAATAGGCACACATACCGTCTGTTGAAGTGGATGGTATATGACAAAAAGTTCTTGCTCAATTCCGCTTTTTTTTTCCTTTTCAATCTAATCCTTGGAACATACAGAGATTTTGCTTCAAATGGCAACAGATTTTCATAAATGGTTTTAATTATGATACATGTTAGTCTGCAGATGAAGCTCCAATGGCTGTAACTTGTATCGAGGATGGACGTTTGAAGATGTTCGAGGATGGATGTTGGAAGATGTTCGAGATCACGTCAAGGGGATTGGACCATACTTTGGCAATAGCATACAAAATACGCGGTGAAACAACTTCCCTAATAGGGTCTGCTTGTAGCAGTATTGTATTCTATTTACCATCATTCTCTTCTAGAGCAATGTGTTAATAGCGCGGATTGTGAATGGAGGGGATATGTGGCGGGTGTCAGCTTTTAGCGAAAGATCATGTATTTAGCAGCAATTCAAAAACAAGTTAAACTTTTACATCATTGTTAACGAGTGATGATGTGTGGTGTGACGGGCTAGATGGCTTTCAAAGTAAAGGTAGAACTAAAAGTATCTCAATGCCTTTGAACCTGCAAATTCAACCTCCACTCATATCGAGTGTTTCCCCTTCTTGTCCATTCTCTATCACTTCTTTGCCCCTTTTTCCCCATCTTCCTCAACCAACATCGAAACTCAGTCCCACCCGCTGTCCTCACTCCCGCAACCCGTTTTTAGCTAGGATTTTGTTGATTCTTATGTGTATTTACTATTATCTTGGCGTACACGGAGGTAATATCGTCCACATCAATGATCAAGTAGACACGACACAAATTTGTATTACTGTCAACAAGTTCATGGGAAAACGTTGATGAATCACTACAGCCGCATCAAATGTGGGTGTCCGTCATATCACTTGTACACATCCTCAACGCTTTGCTTTCAGTTTAATTAAGCCAATTACGATATTCAACTCCATGATCACACATACAAAGAACACATGAACTCGAAAGTCAAGAAGTAGTTCATGTAGGTATCGAAGTAAAGCTAAAGCAAAGTGGGCGAATCAGGATAATTACAGAGAGAGAACCCAAAGGCCTTCATACCACAGTCCGAAAACAGAATAGGAAACAAAACAAATAAAATGCCAAACAAAGCAAAGTCAAAAAGTATGATACCTGGACAAGTCATTAGGATTGCTGTCCATCAAGACTTTGATCCTTCTTAATCTTTCTACGCAAGACTCCTCCCCCTCGACGATTGTGCTTAGAGTTCTCTCGGCTCTCTTTCTGGGTTGCAAAGTTCTACTGGGGAAGTCTTTGGTATCCAGTGTTCTTATCGTCATTTTGTTTCTTGGTCATGGACTCACGAACGCCCGTGAGGGAATACACAAAGACGAAGACTAAATTCATTAGCAAGATTACATGATCGCAAGTTAAGGGGGGGGCGCTTACAAAGTTCAACAAGAACGACGAAAGCGGCAACTGATGCCCAGTAATATTCCCATCCAGTCTTCTCATGATCCAAGAAGAAGTAGGTGTATTTTCCCACAATGTACTTGCCGATAGCTGCCCAGCCAACATATACGAGAGAAAGTGCAGCAAGAGCAAAAACATGGTTCCAGACAGGCTGAAACATATTTAGCAGAATAAGTGAGACGGAATCAGAAAAACCTACGTCAGATCGTTTGATGCTGCTTAGGATGAAGAGCTCGACCAAAGCAAGGACGGAGTTGAAACCATACTTGCTGAAAACGAAGAAAGTTGTGAGCTTATCATGAAAAATTTTATCACCTAATTTTTGATTAGGGTTGAATTGCGATTTCATGAAAGAGTTCTTACCTGGGATCGATGTTTCATTCCGTGGAACGATGACTGCCCAATGTATGAAGGTAACGACATGAGGGAAAGCAAGAATGGTCCAATGAAAGACACTGAACAGGTACTTTTCGTTGGTGTTGGCGGTCTTGCGAGATGGTGAGAGGAACTTCCTAACAGAGGCAGAGATTGTCGAACAATTGTTGTCATTGCTATGCGGGTAGTAGAGATGCATGAAGGTCCAGGTCTGTCAGTGGATAAAGATTAGCACTGAGCATTGAGAATGTATACAAATGCAAGTGGCACAAGGAATCAAGGACGAATACTTACAAACGCAACCCAGGCGTACAGGATTTGCAAGCCGTACACGATATTCGAAAGGTTGTAAACGACCAGCCAGCCATTTTTGTTGATTTCAAGTTCGTAGTGAAGGATCACAAGACTGGAAATCAAGAAGTATGCTGCAAGGGCTCCTCTGAACATAACAAGGGATTTCTGAGAGACGTTGAGCCATGGAGAGTGGCAAGCACGAAGAAAGATAGGCTGTGACTGAATTAGGGCCTCCAAAGAATTACGAATGGGATCGTTTCGAGACAACTTACATGATCATTCTTCTTGTGACTTCCGCTTGGAAGCAAAGCGGTGGACGAAGACATTTTGAGGGGAAAGATTTGGGGAAAAAGATAAATGAAGTCCGATAGGTATGAGGCGAAAGACGAAAGTGACCAAAACGAGAATTGGATGAATGAATCGAGTAATTAAAACGACGGACAGAGAAGACGATTTGCGAAGAACTGTGTTGTGATGTGAGATGAAGAGAAAGAAAGAAAACAGAGGGGAAGAAGAAAGTAAACATGATATGAAAAAAATTAGCATGGGAAAGTGCAACGCAGGAAGGAGTAAGTGAGGACCTGCACTTCCCGTTCTCAACGACACGAATGGCAGGCGCGAAGAGACACGACGGCCAAAAAGAAATGGCAAGGTTATAAGGACAACACGATTAGGGTGCACTGGAAAGGCATTACCCATCAAATGAGTTCTCGGGAGTATACAATAGAAATGGAAGAGGAGGGTCGTGATATCTACTATGACTTCAATAGCAAACTAGATAGACGATTGTCCAGAAAGAGGCTGATTGTCGTAATGCAGCTTGATGTGCAATATATTATGCACAATAAACCAGTCCGAAGTCGTGAGCTACAGCTAGTCAACAGTCTCAAGCATTCAGACACTGGCACATGTTGATGTTTCGGGACGCTTCCGTTCCTTCCCTTTCTCAAAATGATATACGATAGAGTCAAAGAGAAGGGAGGTAGACTCTGCGTTTACCTACTATCGTGTTGATGAGATACATGAGTCCTTTCCTCGATTTCGTGGTAATTGTGTACTCAATATCATTTATATGAAAGGTAGCTTCGTCAAGCGTCCGATTCTCTCAATTAGTCCGTACCTACTAGGTACCCAGTATCCAGATGAAGACAATGAAATGAGACTGCCTCACTGCCCGGACTGATGCAGAACGCACGGACCAGTAGCATAGACCAAGCATAAACCAAGCATAACTAATCCTTACCTTCAGAAGGTGTCCTCAATTACAACTTCCAATTGTAAGAAATGTGTCCGTACTTTTGATCGCAATCATCATCACGAAACGACTACCCGTCATTTTTGAATTGTCTCAAGGCAATCAATCTGCTGATTCTCACAGCTTGAATTCCTACCAGATTTCACCCAGGGATTGCGCATTGCGACAATGCTTTCCTTTCTCCAGAACCCCCGCCAGGCAGCGGCTCAAGTGCTGAATTTCGCCCTCATTCTTTCTACGGCGTTTATGATGTGGAAAGGTCTTTCAGTAGCGTCAGATTCTCCATCGCCAATTGTTGTCGTATTGTCTGGCTCCATGGAACCTGCATTCCAGCGTGGAGATCTCTTATTTCTATGGAACAGGAATTTACTGGAAGAAACCAAGGTTGGGGAAATTGTGGTTTACAATGTCAAGGGAAAGGATATACCTATTGTGCATCGATTGGTTAGAAAGTTTGGCGCAGGGTAAGTGCCTCTATTTCACTGGCGCGGTGGAAGTACCACGGACTCTCATGCTGATATTTGTGACCATAGGCCCAAAGCGAAGTTATTGACAAAGGGAGACAACAACGTGGCAGATGATACAGAATTGTATGCGCGTGGACAAGATTATATTGAGAGAGAAGATATCATTGGCAGTGTAGTGGGATATATACCATTTGTGGGATATGTTACTATCTTACTCAGCGAGCACCCTTGGCTTAAGACTGTTATGTTGGGAATGATGGGTTTGGTTGTAGTTCTACAGAGAGAATAACCAAGGGAATAGCTGAATTTAGGATGGCACCCAGAAAAAGATGATACCCCAAGTTTACATGATCTGAAAGAGTCGACGCACATGTGATTGTGAGGATGTTTTGCTGTCAATATTGTGAAGGTGATAGACGTGCAGGTGGGTTCATGCAATGAAATTTGCGGAACTTGGAGAATACTGGGGTTCTCTTCTCTGTAGACTTTGCTGTATATCTATCTAATATCAACCAAGTTCAGTTCGGAGGGATTCGAACAATGGATAAAGACAAAGATTTGGAGACCTCTACGAGCTCAACCTAGGTACCTTTTTGAGGACAATTCCTGGCTGCAGAAACCCACACCCTTCTTGAAACTTCAATTTTCGCAAAGGTTTAAACACTCCAGCTACCTAGTGCAACACCTACTTTCCGCATCCGATAACTTAATCATCAGCATGATGATGATTCCGTAAAAGTAGCCTTCCGGCAAAATGCTCAGCCTTGCACTTTCTATCCTCGGAACAACAGGGATGGAAATGCCGATTATCTTCAAGCTCTGACGTGAACCTTGAGTGAATTTGGTTGGGTTGGGTTACGATAGCTTTCTATGAAGTACTGCACTCTCACTCACCTCATATCAAACACTCAATAACAAAACAGAATAAGTAACTTTATAATAGAGCTCGCTCTTACAATTCTTAATAACTCTTAGAGATCGATATCCACTCTATTTCTTATAAGTAAGAATCCTCAAATACCGATCTTATTCCTATTATAATAACAAAGTAAACAGGACCTCAACTTCCACTGCAATTCTCGAATTCCCTCCCTCCCCCATATCAACATACCTACCCCGCCATAATTTGCAGCTACCTTCGAAGCTCTCAACCGTCAAGATGGCAGCACGACGTATCGCCAAAGTTCGTAACTCTTACTCCTAAATCCAAATTGAAGCAGAGTATGGTCTAACAGAATGTATGTTAGGAGTTCAAGGAAGTGACCGATAACCCCATTCCAGGCATCAGCACATCTTTAGTGAAGGAGGAAGACTTGCATCAATGGAAGGTCGAGATGGAAGGTCCTGCCGAAACACCATATGCCGTATGTTTTTCTATCTACACAGCTTGTCGCTCGACTCTTCACTAACACTTGGCACGTCAGGGTGGTTTATTTGTTCTCAACGTCGTCCTTCCCAAAGACTACCCATTCAAACCTCCCGTGGTCAACTTCGTAACTCGCATTTACCACCCCAACATTACCTTCGATGAAAAAGGATCAATTTGCGTGGATGAGTTGAAGCAAGACAAATGGAAGCCTAGTGGAAAGATTACAGCTATTCTCGGGGCGATCAGGAATCTTTTAATCACTCCAAACCCAGATGACCCTTTAGAAAATACGATTGCGGAGAAGTTGAAGAATGACGCGGATGGTTTTGCAAAGGAAGCGAAGGAAAATACAAAGAAATACGCCATGAAGAAATGAAGATTGGGCGGAAGTATGAATTAGGGGTAGCAAATCGGCGCTGTATGAAGGAAAGGATGGAGGTTGCATGATCTCGAAAGGGAAACGATATGAGACGAAGTCAAAGACATATGACGATGAACGACAGCGATTTTCAGCAGCGAGATGATTGGCATTGGCGTTTAAGGGTGCATAGAAGAAATTACTTTTACCGTATCAGACAGCCAAAAAAATCGGGAATATAAATACATTGCTTTTCCGGGGAAGATGTTGCATGATTTAAACTGAGCTGAATTCGAAACGGATGGATCATCTCCAAACGTACACTTTTGCATCTTAACAACCCATACTTTTTTTTCTCTCTTTCGCCATCTTTGCCCTTTTTACCAAATTGATTCTTACTTTTTCTTCCGTCGTAATACTGACTCCACTCTTTCGGAATAATGACAAGAATTATCGACGGATATGAGAAGAGATAAACGCTCATGCCTCCTTACTCTTCTGCTAGCATTGAGACGGCGGGTAAAAGTTGGGGAGGGAGAAGAACTAGAGGGGAAAGGGAGACGAGGGTTGAGCGTTATGGAAGATAAAGTCAAAAGAGATGAAATTGAAGAAGATGCTAGGTAGATATCTGATGACATTTGATATGACAATAAGTGACCGGGGTAGCTATGAATGAGATACTTGTTGGTAGATATGAAGTAGATATGTAGTCAATATGTAATAGATATGTCGTAGGTAGAGAGAGGTATGTAGTCGGATATATCATCTAAATCTCCTCATCAGAGTGTTGATTGAATTTTCCATATATTGTTAGAGATAAATTAAAATAATTTCCATCAGTTCTTCCTGACTAGCAAGCTTTATCTTACTCTCGTACCACATTAATAATGATTAGCTTGTTAATCATGACATATGTAGGTAGATATTTTATATCTTTTATACATTTTACATATTTACTTTCCAATTTGATCTCGCTTACTTCATCTTCTCCCTTGAATTCCCTTCTCAGTAGCTTTTATTAAAGCTTTTCCACCGGACCACTTCCCAAACACTCAGACATGATAATTCTTGGCCAAAGAATCTCAACCAGGATTATTGATGCAGCGGAACACCCAAATTAAGATTAGGATCAATTTTACTTTTTTCTTTTACCCTTCGAGATGGGGATACTCTTCGGCACGGAGGAGTTGATTGATTGATGATAGAACGACGGGTAGATGGGGATGGACTAATTGGAAAATGGAATCAATTGAACGAATAGCAGTCCAGGGGATTGAGGAAAAGGTCCTTTGAATTGGGTTTTATTATCGGCTAGTTCTTGGACATAGCGGGAACTGGACTAGATGGATGGATGGATGGATGGATGGATGGATGGATGTAACTGACGAACACTAGGTTTTTATATACATCTATCCCGAGTACAATCCAGAGTTCAAAGCAAGAGAGAGGACCTACACTACCTAGTACCTCCCTCCTACTTCGTATAGGTACAGAGGGAATCGTAATCGTAATAAAAGGTAGAGGACGGTACCTTGTTGTAAGAAGATCGCCATACATTGGCGTACAACGGGCGTATTTGGCCAGTATTAATTCGAAGATATAAAATAAAATATGGAACGTAGGTATAAATCAAAATTGTATGGAGTATTCTGATTGCTTGAGATACTGGATACCGGGTATATTATCTGTATCTCTCTCTGTTTGTCTAGGTACTCTATGAATCTGTCCATCTTCAACATCGATTTTTGAAATTTTCTTCTTCTTTTTTTTTCTTTTTTGCTTATTACTATTCTTATTACTATATTGCTATTACCTAGGTAGGTATTGGTATTTACTTGCTTTGACCATTTTACGAAATAAAATGAATTGAACCAAAGATTTCGAATTCTTAAACCTTTCCTTTATCATTCATCTACCTACCTAGGTCTCTAGCTTTTCCATCTGTCTGTCTGTCTGTCTGTCTATCTGTCTATCTGTCTATCTGTCTATCTGTCTATCTGTCTATCTGTCTATCTGTCTATCTGTCTATCTGTCTATCTGTCTATCTGTCTATCTGTCTATCTGTACCACCTGCAGTTTATTCATATATCAAATTCATTCATTCTCCAATCTCAAATTTCAACATCAAACCTCCTTCTCCCCTTCGTTTCATTAGTGGAGCGAGAATTTCATACACCTTCATAATTTTGGGTCTTTGCCTTTGTTTCAGTTGGAAAGGGTGGATCAACCGACAACTCCGTACATCCCATGCCATACCATGCCATACTGCACCATACCCGAACACCAAGATACCAAAATACCATCAATTATTACTCAGGAGTAGTCATTCACTACCTAATCCTTTCCTTAAGCTTCTCTTCACTCAAAATACAATACGAACGGGAGTACAAGCAAGTAGAATACTACTACTACTACTACTACTACTGCTACTGCTACTGCTACTGCTACTGCTACTGCTACTGCTACTGCTACTGCTACTACAACATCAACACTACGACGGAAGACACTTTTGATATCTCCTTCATTCCTTCACACTGCTTCATAGCTTCATAAATTCAATCCCTCACTCGCTCCAATAATCAATTAATTAACTGATTGATTAATTCATTCATTCATTATTACTTCTTTGCTGGTTAATCCCTAATCATATCCACTTTCCTGCATAATTCTTTCTATTCCTGGCCTTCACTTCACTTCACTTGAATCACTTCATACTCAACTCTCCATTCTCCATTTCCTATTCTCATACTTACTTCACACTCTCGTTAACTAAAATCGTTTCTAACATTTGAAACATTGGAGACACAAATTGAATTGCGAGGACAAGATACTGGAACATTTGGAACAACACTGAATAATTGGCCATTCTCTGGAAATTGGAGATTGGAGAATATACGGAGTACTGGTACCCCCAATACCTCGATACTCGAAGGATCAACTTCGCCGAATGCCTACCCCGACAATTACCATTCACCATTTCACAACATAATTGTACCACCTGCAAGACTAGCCTCTTTCTTCGACAGAAAGAAAGAAAAGTATCCTCGGACGAAAGAATCCTCTTGCTTTGATGTTGACGATTTCAATTACTACAGGGTCCTTCCGAATAAGATCGGGGTCAAAAGACCTGGGGTGAGGTGGTTCGAACGCTACTTGATATATATGGGGAGAGTTTGAAGGTTTAAATGGAATAGTCGCGATAAGGGGCTTACTAGTTTGGCCTTGACGATGAATATGGGAAATGGATATTATGGCGTTGAAACGTCTTCTCCCATTTCCAACAACATGGATAACAGGAGTCCGCATGTGCAGATCAGACAACAACGAAGTCAGAAATTCAACCTGTATCCAACAAGACCTCGGACGTCATCTAAAGCTTCCGAGTTATCTGTTAATACTTCTAGGTCTGGAAATCGCCCATTTCCATTTCCACCCAAGTCACCAACACCATCCACTCGAGATCATTATTTGCCCATTAACCCCCTCGCCCAAAACCCTCCTATCCCGCTACAAAGACCCTCAACCTCGCATCATTCAGCATCTAATGAACCCTCCCGATCTTTAACTGCTCCACCACAGCAGAAACTTCGACGAAAGCCTTCAGAGGCTTCACGATTGAGACAACTTAGTAACGTGCGATCGCATTCTTCCACTGGCAGGCGGACCCCGGAAAAGGTAGTAGACAATTTCTCTAGACCACGGCAAGCCAGTCTGCGGAAACGAAATGAGTCTCCTAGCCCTTTGATTCATGCCTCGACATTTCATGTAGAACCATCACAGGATGAGGAAACAATAAACAATGGATCACTTTTCAGTACAAGAGATAGAGGATTTTCATCATCTTCTTCACAATCAGGCCAACCATTACCTCCGCCGGCACCCGCACCCGCACCTAGCCTGCGACCTTCTGCGTCAATCCCGGACTATCATACTGTAGATCTAAATAATGCGAGACAGCGCAATATCCCACAAGCAAATTTTAGGCCAAGAACAGGAATCAATAGACCCGACAGTAATAACTCATCCATATATCGACGAGAGCCCCCGATTCGACCAACAAACTTTGATGACGAGGAAGTTCGAGCAAGCTTCAGATCTGCTTTGACTACAAACTCGAGTTATTTTGGAACAAGTGGGACAGAGAGGAGCAGTGTATTGACGAAAAGTAGTTCACACACTTCTTTCTTTGGGGGTAAAGACGAAGGAATGAGTGTGGATGATGCAATTGGCATGTATGAAGGTGGCTTTCTGGACTCGGGGGTCGAAGATAATGATTTGGAGGATAAGCTCCTGGAAATTGGTGCGGAAATTAAGCCCAGATCTGTATATCGACAGGAGTTCCTTGATGAAGACGACGAGTTTCGACCAATGACCCCAGATTCGGAGGGAAGGCAATCGAAGTTGGAAGAGGCAATGGATGATTCTCTTGCTCCTCCTCAAACTCTCGATGCGTCGCAATTTTCAATTAGAGGTTCCACGGAGATATTCCACGGCAAAGCTTTTGAGGCACAAAGTGCGACAGTTACCCCTAATCTTCCTTCAAGTGATTTTTCGGGGTCGAAAGAATTTGATGGTGCAGGAGCGCCTCATGAGACTCGGGATAAATACTTCGAACCGCACGCGGTAGTGCCACCGCCACCAACACCAATTGCTTCAGACCCAGCTAGAGACAGGTATGGTTTCAAGAAAAAGACACAATACGTTTCTTTGGAAGAATATGAAGCTTGGAGTGGGCCTTATAATGAATACGTTGAGCGAAGAAGAAAGAAATGGGTGTTACTACTCAAGGACCACAGTTTGATTACCGACAAGCCAATTCGATTTCCACCAAAATCAGCAAAAGTCAAACGTTTCGTCCGCAAAGGGATACCGCCTGATTGGCGCGGTGAAGCTTGGTTTTGGTATGCAGGTGGTCCGGCTATGGTCGCTAAGCACTATGGAGTTTATGATAACTTGGTGAAGCAAGCAGCTGCAGGGGCGGTTAATGAGACGGACGACGAGATTATTGAGCGGGATCTCAATCGCACGTTCCCGGATAATATCAAATTTAAGCCGGATCCTCCTCCTGTTTCAGAAAAACGGACTAGTCAGCCGAGTATAAAGGAGCCGGAGACCCCAATGTTGAAGTCGTTGCGGAGAGTATTGCAAGCATTTAGTATCTATAACCCCAAAATAGGGTATTGCCAGAGTTTGAACTTTCTGGCGGGTTTGTTGTTGCTGTTTATGGATGAAGAGAAGAGTTTTTGGATGTTGAATATTATCACGAGAGTTTATTTGCCAGGAACTCACGAGGTTAATCTAGA